TTCAAAGAGCTACAGGAGTAAAAGATGTCATCAGAGAAATTTATGCTAGGGAGACACTATGGGCTGGTCACATAATGAAGATGAAAGAGGACTGGTGGACAACCAGAGTGTTTGTTTCACTGGTATTCTCTCCTAATGTCTGAAGAAACTGACAAAGGCTTCCAATGGATGGACTTCTCTTGGAAAATGTTCGGGAGGATCATAGGTAGAGCTCAAAAGGACCTCAAAGGCCATCTAATTCAACCCCTTCATTTAAAAAATGAGGAAACTGAGGACATGGACAGGAGTTACATGGCATGGGAAGGCATGGATGGCTTGAGGTCTGCATCATTGGAGGGAATATTCATGAGATCAGAGGCTCACAAATTTAGAGTTGGAAGGGACCTCGGAGATCTTCTAGTAAAACCTCATCATTTTACAGATGAGGAAACTGAGACCTAGGAATGATACATGATACATGTAGCTAGAAAGTGTCACAGGTGAGATTTAAACCCATGTGTTCCAGACTCCAAGCTCAGTGTACTTATCTGATACCTCTTGTTACTTCTTACCCATATCAATAGATACAGATCAGTCTATAGAAGATACCTGCATGCATATATCTATACAAACCTTAAATTGGGCTCTAACAGATAAACATTAATTTGTAACTCAGGTTTTATAGTTAACTTGGATTATGGTCATTTTGTGAAATAAGAAATCAATCAAGCAATAAGCACTTATAAAGTGCATACTATGTGCCTCAAGGAAACTAAAACATACTTCAACCTATAAAAGCCTAATTTTTAGAAAAAGGTCAAAGAGAAAGTCTGAAGCTTTTTATCTTAAGTGCACTAACAAGATTTCTAGACAGGAATGCAGCTTGTATTCAATTAAATAAACAGGCAGATTAACTTTCTTTAATGAGCTCCTGTCACAATATAGAATTCTTCTATAATATTCTCCCTAAGTAATAAAGTCTTTCCAAATACACATAGTGGCTCCTATTATGGGGAAAAAATGGAATCCCAAGTGATTTATACCCATTAAGAGGTCTCCCCAATGATACAATAAATTCTCAACACACTCCTGCCTTGCAAATGCTTTGCAGAACAGAAAGTATGAATTTCTGCAAATTGAATATCTGAATCCATTTTGGTTTCTATGGATGACATTTCAGTTTCAAGCAAGCAAAACTTATTTGCTTATGTCTAACCCAATACATGGTAATTCAAAGAGGGAGAGAGTATTAGCTTCTGGAATAAGGAGTTGGAGTTGAGGCATAGGGATCTTTAGAAAAGGTTTCTAGAGTAGGAGGCAACCCCAGTTCAGCCTTGAAGAAAGCTAAGAATAAGAAGGGCCAAATGGTTAGGAGGGAGTACATATCAATAGACCAATAGCTAGAACTCCTCATCTCCCAATGAATGGGTCCCACAAGGTGAAGACTATCCTCTAGCCTGAGGCATCATAGCTGGACTACAAGAGCTGCAATACTAAACCATTTTCTGTTCGGCATGTGGGGTGGACTGGGTTCAGTTGTAGGGGAATCTTCCTTTAACAAAAGGGGGTAGGCTCCCTTTTGTCACACTCATTGTCTCAGTAAACCCTCTACCCTGACACCCAGGAGAACAAGAAGGGAACTAAAAAAAGGATTCAATGTCCAATATGAATTGGGATTGGAACAGATAATTTATTCTGATATACATAAAAAAACCTAAACATTAAAAAAGAAACAAATAAAAAAACTCCACAAGTGTTCATTAATAAGACAAAATTTAATGACACTTTATTTCTCCCGTCGAGTACAATATTGACTTTATTGGTGGTGTAGAATGTAGGAACTTTGAACTTCTTACTGTAGGGGTGCCTTGGCACAGTCACTGTATGTGGGCTGTGAGATTTCCAGTGAAGGGAAATTGATTTGTTATATGAGCTCCCCAAGGCTTTCAAGTTGAGTCCATGCTCCATGTTAGGGCTGGAGGGGGAAGACAAGGTCACCATAATAAAAGAGCAAAGAAGTATCCATCCTTCCCCATCCTTACTGGAGTCATGCGATGGCCTGTATCAGATGCTATTTCTTCTAAGAGGGAAGGGGCCACTTGGATTTACCATGTTCAATGTTTCTAAAAAGTCATTGAACCACTTTGATGCAGTTTCATGCTATCTTAGGAATCCTTTGGGTTCTGTGTTTCATCAGGTGTTTGTTCAATTTCCTTTGTAATGTTTAGAGATATTTTCATTCTTTTAGATATTTTGGTAGATGTATTACTTTATGATTTTAGTATCATCCCTGTTGATTTATCTGTTTGTGCTGTAGGTTTTTTTAACTGAATTTTTCTCCTGAGATCTTTGGCAGTTTTATTCTCTTTTTTCCCCTTATAAATTCTATCTAGTTTTTGACCCATTCCCTTTTGATGGTGGGTCCCCATACCCCACACGTGGCCAAGAGGGAAGGGGACTGGACCTCAAAGTCTCCTCTCATATTGGGAAATTCACTTTGCTTCAGTCTCCTAGGGATAGAATTGGAGCCAACTAGGTGCAAATCTCTTCTTCAGGCCTGGGGCAGCCCCAAATATTGGGACCTTACTTTCTTCTTTAGTTCCTCTAGTACTAGTACTTTAGTACTAGGAGCCTACCCCCTTTTGTAGTACTAAAGTACTTCCTTTTGAAGTACTTTCTTCTTCAGTTCTCTGGCTGGGCATGGCTGAAGAGACAAAACAGACTCTCCTCTCTTTTGCAAATATCTGGGCAGAGTGGAGGCCTGAAATCCACTGCTTGTTGCCCCAGAATAGTAGGGGTGATCTAAGAGTCAGAACATGCTGGCAAAGACTGAAGCAGTGGCAGGGAAGCTGTTGACTGGATAAGCCTGTGGGTCTGGTAGTATGCCCTACTGGAGCATGGAAACTGGTGCTGAGTGAACTCTGTTAGAGATTAGTATTCTTCATTGTTAATTCACAAAGCTATTACCTCGTTAGGATTCTTGATTTCTTAGCCTGTGGAGAGAGGTGTAATTATTCTACCTCTGGTATATGATACTTCTTTGGGGTTTTTTTAGTGGGGTCAGAAGAAAATATCTAGGCCTTCATCTTTTTGATCATGTGACCTTCAAGTCAATTTATTTTTTGTATCCCCAGAACTTAGCACAATACCAGGTACACAGTAGGTGCTTAAATGCTTTTTTCATCCATCTAGTCATTTAAGGATTTAGAAAATACTGCCAGGTAATTTGGGGAAGTGGTAATATTATGAAAAGAACAGGAAGGTCAAGAGGAGATTCTTTGTGAGAACAGTTTGGGTTGTAGATGGGCCCTGAGATGACTAAGAGACATTGAACTTGAAGACAGAATTGGGGGAGATTCAACAAGCACATTCTGAATGTTATTGACATCTGTCCCAGGTCCAGACATTTTTTTCCCTTGGATTTCCCTAGCCCAAAGCCTTCTGGGCCAATAATCACTTCCATTTACTCCACAAATAACCCTTGTTTTGAAGACCTGATATCCATCAATGTCTAGTCAGCAACTCAAGCAACCAAGTTTGTTGAAATTTAAGAATATTGCAATAAGAGATTCAGTGATTTGCCTAGGATCAGTGGCAACTAGTATGTGTTAGAATCAAGACAAAAGCTCAGGTGAATCAGATGATACATCATTATTCTTTCTTCTGCTTAAAAAGTAGAGGTACTAAGAGAAAAATTCCTTGGGATGCATATTATTTCTTAATACTGTTGTAAGCACTCTCATACCCAATTTAAAAAAATTACATGCCCTATTATTGCTAAGAAGAGTCCGAAAGTATCTTCATATATATGAATTTTTATATTCTCTAGTCTATAAATTGTAGATTTCTGATAACATTTTCATAACAATCCTAAAACATAGCTATGGTAGGTACATGGAGCTTCAGTACAACTAATGTTGTCAGGCATGTCTAGCTTAGGCTAAGGGCTAGAGATAAAAGGCCAAAACATGGATCTGACCTTATGTTCTAATACAGAAAGCCAACATTAAAACTAGTATTAATGGAAGGTACTAGCAGTAGGAGAGATTGAGAAGGCCATTTAGTTTTGAGCCAAATCTTTTTTTTTTTTTTTGGCTAGGCAATGGAGCCAAGTGACTTGCCCACGGTCACACAGGTAGTAAGTGCTTGGTCTGAGGCTGGATTTGAACTCAGGTCCTCCTGACTTCAGAGCCTGTGCTCTATCCACTGTACTACCTAGCTGCCCCTACCTTGAGCCAAATCTTGAAAGAGGCCAGGGGTGCCAGGGGACAGAGACAAGGGCATTCCAAGCATGACAGTAAGCCATTGAAAAGGCATTGGAGTTTGAAGTGTGTAAGGAATAAGTAGACATCTTGCTTGACTACACTTATTTGTTACAAGGGCGTTTTTTTTTCTTTTTTAAGCAGGAGTATTAGAAGAGGAAAAATGAAGTTTGACAAATGTAAAAAAAAAAAGTAGACATTGTCACTGCATCATCTCCATAAGACTAGAAGGGTAGAAGGGGCCAGGTTGTAAATGGCTTCAAATGCCAGAAATAATATTTTGTATTTGATCCTGGGGGTTAAAAGGGAACTGCTAGAGTTTGGTAGTGTCATCTACCCCAAATCCTGACTCTGGAAGGTGACACCCCAAAAGCTCTTTCCAAGATGGAGTAGTATTAACGAAATCTCCATTTTAAGTTTAAAGGCTTAGCCCCATTGAATCTTTGAAGGAACCTCCTTTGGTTTTCAGTTGGCTACAGAAGGGCATGGTATCTCCACAGACCTATTTTTAAGCATTTCTAAGCTTTTCTCTTGCATTTGTATGAACAAAAGATGTCTTAATTGTAAAGTTAGAGATTAATTCCTTATAACTTCTGCAGTTGAACACTTGGCTATAGAAACTTACTCATCTAGTGGTTTGTATTTCTTACCTTCTCAATGGGGTGGGGGGAGAGAGGAGGGAAATTTGGAACTGGAAATCTATATAAAAAAAGAAACTTACCCATTTAAGAAAGCCAGTTTTTAAAATGCACAACAAACTTCATAAGAAAATGGTTTTTAATAGAACTTATTTAAAAATGAATAAAAAAGATGCTACATTGAAGTGATAAATACTTTGAAAATATATTAAGATCTATTGAAACAAAGACCCCAGAAATTCCAGACTTCAGAGGACTTAGAACTGTCTACTAAACTGTAGCCACCCAATACTTTATAAGGAAAGGTATCAGATACCTATTATTAAAGACATTAGAAATCTTGGGTAAGACATGAGGCTTCACTCCATTAAGACACCATACAAGACATACCATAAGCTACTCTTACAGAATATGAAGTACCAACATTTCAAGTCCCCTTCCACAAAAGCCTTTGAACAGCGAACCAGTTTATGAGGAGAAAAGGGCGGGGGGGAGAAAAGCACTGGTCAAAGAGAACAGTTAGTTCATCAGTTATTACGGCAATGTTCAAGATGACAGTTTCTTAATCAAAAACCAAAAAGATGCACATTTTCAAATGCTCTTTAACAGTCTTGATGAGATGGTTCCATGTTCATCTGGTTTTTTCTTCCAACTTCAGTCATCTTAACAGATGGCAATTAACAACTGAGGCCATTGTCTCTTCTGCACCTGGTCCTCTTCCAAATCTCTTAGGTCTTTGCTTCCAAGATTGGTATAAACAGTTTAAAATCCATTATCGTACGGCTAATAGAAGAGCTAATCCCACCAGTCCAAATCCTGCTGCTGCAGCCATTATTACAGCACAGGGTACTGCTTGGGTCACTTTGTGGGGAAGACTGCTTTTGAGTGAAGTGGTGGTGAAAGCCAGTCTGTATGGGAAGAGAAGAGAAAGCTTTGATTAGTTCAGACTAGTGAAACATCAGGTTTGTCTTTGCATTGCTAGAACGTAGCAGACATTTTAATAACCACTTGTCCAATTTAGTCCTCCAGTTCTTCAAAAAAAGTTCAACATTTGATGAAAATTAATATCAGTGTTTTGTTCTATGTAAAAGATTACATGCCTATATTAGAGATACTGCTTTGGTTATGAGACATGTGGTAATGTTGGAGTTATTTTTAAAAGTCACCATTGCAAAAAAGTCATGATGAAAGGTGACCAAGACAATAATAGCTAGCAAAACTTACCAGTTCTCCTCTGATAATCATTATAACCCTGGGAAGTCAGTACTAGTATTACCCTCCTTCACAGATGAGGACACTGAGGCTGAAAGAGGTTAAGAGGCTTGCTCAGGGGTCACACTGCCACAAAGTGTCTGAGGCAGCATTTGAACTTAGGTTTTCCTAGCTCCCAGTCCAACTATTGTGCCATCTAGCTGCCCAAAACTGCTAAAAGAATGAACAGTTCCTTACTGAGTATCTGGATACTTTAGTGGAGAAAAAAGATTCCACTGAATGTTGCTTTTGGCTCCAGAAATATTGATTATATAAAGGGAAGTGACCAGAAGTGATCACATGAAATGATCAGAAGAGCTACCCATCAATTTCATGCACGTTTCTGAACAAAAGACAGAGGTTATTTTGAAGATCCTCATGGTTATTAGATTCCCAGTTGACCCTTGAGAAGCTAAAGCTGGCAGCTGCTTTAGCCATCTCCATTCAGGATAATCAGAAGTGACAGTAATTAAACTCCAGATGGTTGCATTTTAACTTTGCTGGGTAGAGGGGTTTGCATAAACAAGCTGTACTTGGCATTCCTTTGGCAACTTTGCTCTTTATACTCTATTTTCTGCCACATAACTAATATAAATGCCCCCTCCCCCCCATTAATGTTTAGGCAAGTGCCACACCTGGTTTTTCCATCAAGTTCTTTCGAAGCAAATCTCAGTAAGATGTTAAATGCCGACCACGTTTCCCCAGTTAGAAATGATGCTGGGAGGCAGCTAGGTGGCACAGTAGATAAGAGTACTGGCCCTGAAGTCAGGAGGACCCGAGTTCAAATCTGGTCTCAGACCAAACACTTGACACTTACTAGCTGTGTGACCTTGGGCAAGTCATTTAACCCCAATTGCCTAAAAATAAATTAAATAATAGAAATGATGCTGGATGAAGAGGTATTGGGATTTAAAAGTAAATGTGTTCCCATCTCCCCACCCCCCCAACCATAGGATGCTGGGCCTGGAGTCAGAAAGACCAGAGTTCAAATCCTTCCTATGGATCACTATCTATGTGACCTTGGGTAGATCAGTGCCCTTTTTTTTCAGTTTCCTCAGTTGTAAAACGGGGATAATAACAGCACCTCCCCTCCCAGGGTTGTTGTAAGGCTCAAATGGGATATTTGTAAAGCGCTTTAGCACAGTGCTTGGAACCTAATAGTGGTGGAGCTATGTAAATACCCATTCCTTTCCTTAGTTTCTTGGCAACATGCATATTTAGATATTCATTCATTTAGGATTTAAAAAGCCTATAATGTTAAGGCACCAGGACTATGTGGTAGGGATTTTTAAAAATTAAGGCCTCCAGTTATTCAGATTAGGTCAAGAAAAAGCACCACAACAGCCCCTAGTCTTTTTGGTAACCTTTAAGAAATGTGGTGACCCACATGAAAGTCCCAACACAAACCTGAAAGTAAGCTCAGCCACAAGTAGCAGAAATAAGGCCAGACACACAATACGGAGAGCCGATGGGGACCACAGAGGTCTTTTAGTCCTTCATTTTACAGGTGAGCAAAGAAGGTAAGGGAATTGGTCCATAGGCACTGTGGCTAATAAATAGGAATTGAACCCAGGTGTTCTGACTCTCAGGTAGGCGTTTGAACATCCCTTATTTAGGAGGACCAAGTGGCCCTTAGGCATCTAAGTTCTCCTAGGGTTTTGGGGGGCATCTGTGTAAGAGTAAGAATGAGTGGGTGTAGGGGTCACTAAAGATGTTGGCAAATGCTAGGTCCTTTCAGTCCTAGAGACAAGAACCAGAGAAGAAGAATAACCTGGAGGAGTAGGGGGAAAAGGTGGGGGGGAGAGTGTAAGGTTTTGGAGCCAAAATAAGGACCAGGTGGGTAGGCAATTAGAGTCCTGAGGAAGGTGCATTTAAATAAGCGCTAAGATCCTATCTTATCCAGATCATCCTCCCTCCCTAATTTTATAGGTCTGGAAGTGAAATAAAGTAAAAGGCAGAGGCAGCATTTGAATTCAAGTGATTTGATTCTTGTGTGAGGAGGAAGAATAAATTGTAAATTAGAATCGTTAGTCCCAACTGCATCCCACAGCTGATTTTCCAAGTTTTTGGTCATGAGCTGTCCATATATGGGCAAAACATTTAGGCCTGATATAAGAGCTTCCAAAAAAGCTCATGGGAGAGTGGAAGAAAAGTCCTGCCACATTTTGGGGGGAGGGAGACAGAGGAAAGCCAGAGACAAAATGAACCCAGCCAGACAATCCATCCCCAGCATCCAGACTAAACTAAAGCGAGAAAAGCCCCTGGCTGACTAGAACTAAAGTCCTACAACTTTATATCTTTTCTTTTTTTCCCTTTATTTCTATTTCTTTATTTTGCGGGGCGGGGGGGAACGCAAAGACAAAAATTTAACGCAACCAGCCAATCCACCCTGAAGGCAGACTACCTCTCCACACCGCCTTGAAAACAAGAAGCGTCTACTAATTGCTGAGTTTTACTTTCAGAACCTGCCCCAAAAGAAACTAAGCATCCGGTTAAAAACTAAAACCAAAAAAAAAAAAATCCAAACCACAAAAGAGCCCTCGCGGCCGGAACGCAGAACTTCCCCGTCTGATTGAAATGGAATTTCCCCCGCCTCCCTCCCACCCACCCTTGGAAACCCCGCACAACTCTCCTACCGCCCACGGCCACCTACGCGGCTTCCCGCCCCACCAGACCACCCACCCACCTACCCCACTCCCTCAAGAAACAGGGGGAGTTGGGATTGGGGAGGGGGGCTGCGTTGCTTACTCAGGAGTTTTCAAAGGACGTGACTCTTTGTGAGTAAGCCGGCTGGGTCAGGGCAGGGTTTGACCTCCGCAGTCCGGTCCCATCCCGGGCCATGTGGCCAGGCACGACTGGCTCGCCCCCTCCCCTCGTCCGGCAGTCAATCCCTCCCGGGGGAAAGAGGATGCCTCCCATCCTTACCCAGCCTCCGTTGTCCCGCAGCCACGCGCCCTTCTTCTCCACCAGATAGTTGCAGAGTTCTTCCGTCAAGCGCCGGCTCATTTCCCTCCGAAGCGGCTGCACTCGCTCCTCTTTCTGTGGTTCCTCCATCTCCAGCAGTGCCCCAGCAAAAACCACCAGCACTGCCACCCGGCCCCAGTTGAACTCGCCCTGGCTCATGAGCTCCGCTACCTCGGTTATGACTTGTTCAGGAGACTGGTCGAGTAGCTGATTCTGGGCGCACTCGAAGAAGTCTTGGTAACGCCGGCGGAGCTCTTTTGCCACCGAGCGCATCGTAGCTGCCGCTGGGGTAGTAGGCGGCCGTGCCTGGAAGCCTTCCCGCCGGCTGCAGTAATCCAGGTAGTCGGCCACCAGTTGCGCCGTCTCTTCCCGAAGGGCACACTTGTAGTCCATGTTTCCACCAGAGGAGAGAGAGTCCGGGACCCGCTTGCAATCACAGCGTCTTTCCCCGGGTGAGGACTTGGGCTTCTTTAACTCGGCGGAGGCGGAGTCCTGCTGCCTAATCTCCACCCTGGGGGCGGGGCTGCAGCTCCTCACCACGCCTTCCCATCTGTCTGCCTGCCTGCGGGCCAACTCCTTTTCATTTTTTCTGTGCCATATTCTTTTTCACTTGGGGCATGGCCAGCTCAGCACCTTCCCTCCTTCACCTGAGGTTCCCCTTCTCGTTTCAACCCTTGCCTGGGACAAAAGCTGCCAGGGGATGCCAGTGGGGAGGGCAAGTGGGCTTCACTCCAATTCTTTATGTAATCTCTTTCTCACTATGAAAGGCTCCTAAGGGGATAGGACCACCACGTCAGAATCCTGGGTAGCGTCCAGCGCTCTCAAGTGTCGTTTCCTTCCTCTCTAGAGCAAGCCAGTATCTCGGGCTAAGGATGGGGGATGGGGACAAGGGGGCGGGATGGATTGGGGGGTGGGAGGTCGCCCACATCCTTCCAAAAAACTGAGCATGTGCAAAAAGCTAAGCTTTAAATAGGGGATTGAAGCTGGGGGCTAGCTTCTTTCATTGGACTTGGACAAAGAAAAAGAGAGAAGGAAAAAGAAAATAAGGACGGGGTGTGTGTGTGTGGGAATGGAAAAGGCCCTATTAGGCAGCCCAGTCTTTGAGCTTTCTGGCTTACGAGAGATGCATAACTTTTTCAAGTGAAGACTCCCAGAGTTGTGGGTTTGAATATGTGTCTGTTGTCTAGAGTGTGTGTATGTGTGTGTGTGTGTGTGTGTCTGTATCTGTATGAAGCAGGGAAAATGGGTGTTTCTGAACTGTCTGTGTCGTAGTAAGCTATTAATTGTTAAGAATTCTGATCAATAAAATGACCAGCCTTGATCCTAGAGGACCAAGGATGGAACATGCTATAACTGTCCTCCTGAGGAAAGGTGAGGGACTTAAGATGCATAAGGAGAGATACATTTTTGATTAAGCCAATGAAGATTTTTTTTTCTTAACTTTGCATAGTTGTTACAAGGAGTTTCAGCCCCCCCCCCAATTGGGGGAGATGGGAGAGAGAAAATAAATTTTCATTTATTAAAAAAGAGGCAGTTAATGGGCAGGAGCTTTGTGAAGGCAGTATCTGAGCTTCCTTAATCTCAGAGGAGCTTGTGGCCATTGATATGTCTAAGAACACTGGTTTGGAATCAGAGAACCTTGGTTCAAATCGGATTCTGCCTCAGTAACTGTGTGACCATGGACATTCGTAGGTAACATTTCTGGGCCTCAATTTCCTCTCCAAAAAATAAGGTTAGACTAAAAGATCTCTAATGTCCCTTTAAGTTCTAAATCCTATTATTCTACTTCATTTTTAAGGAGGCTGTTCCTCCTTGGGTCTATCCCTCACAGTGTACATTTGGGTATGGCTGAAAAGGCTGGCTAGATGCTTTAGTCCTTTTCATAATGAACACTGAAGGGGATCCTTCAGTAAGCATCCACTAAGAGCTTTTTGGTATTTGCAGGCCTCCTTTAGTCTCACTCAGGGACCCCTAAGGCTTTGGAATGTGGTTGTGTTCTGAATTACATGGTTCTCTAATTGCTATATGTGTCTATGACTCACCTTCCCAATGAGATTGTAGGGTAGGTAAGGACTAATCCACATTTCTTTCTATCTCCCACCACCTCTAGCACAAAACTGAGCACACAGATGCTCAGTATGTAGTTCCTCCAAAAGAGTCCCTCTCTTCTGGTGTAGCTCAGAATGGACCTGTTAGCCTTCTTGTACTTTTTTTGAGGGTCCACATGGTGTGGATTCATCCAGATGTGTTAGAGGAAGTTTCTTCCAGAATCAAAGGCCTGCCCTCCAGCCTCCAGATCCCCATGCCCATCACCCTGCACTCAATGGGTGGTTTTCTTGGTCTTCTTTTCTTTTGCTCTGTATACAGTGTAATTTCCCTTACCAAGTTGCAGACTGAGAGCAGGGAATGTATTCTTTTCTTCACACAGCATCCAGCCTAGTGCCTTACACATAGGAGGAACTCAGTAAATGTTTGTTGAAGGAAAATTGTGACCCCTTTTAGATTCTGTTACACAGGTGGGTATCCTGCTGTTTCACTTTTTACATAATCATGAAGAGATTCGCTTCAGTGGAGGCAGACTAGCTAAATCCTAAGATTCTTTGCCACAGAAGCAGCAACCTTGGAAGTGGCATCAGGCTGAAGACTTTAAAATCCATGGGGCAGTTGGGTGGCAATGGATAGAGCTCTGCCCTTGGAGTCAGGAGGACCTGAGTTCAAATCTGGTCTCAGACACTTGACACTTACTAGTTGTGTGACTCTGGGCTGGTCACTTAACCCCAATTGCCTCACCAAAAAAAAAAAAAAGACTTTAAAATCCATAAAATGGTGTTTCCTCCAAATTTCTATTACAGTTGAGGGTGGATCTACAGTAAATTTTTCTAGTCATTCAGCATTTATTTAGCATCTACTATATGCCAGGCACTATGCTAAGTAGAGTGCACAACACAGTGGCTTTCTAAACATCAGGTGTCAAGACAAGATTATCAACACATTCCCAAAACAGGGAGCTTAAATTTGGGCCTCCATCTGCAGTTCTTATGGAAGAAGAATGTGGAGTTGTGAGAGGAATTTCTGATATCTTTAGGGTAGGAATTCTTATCCTTTTTTGAGGCATGGACCTACCGTTTATGCTGAAATATGTTTGCAAAATTACCTCTTCCATTAAAATGTGATCTCTTAGACTTCATCAGCAGCTGTTTTTAACCTTTCTTCGTACCCTCAACCCTTAGCAGTGCGCCTGGCATATTTTGTGGTCATTATTGAGTTGTTTTCAGTTGTGTCCAACTCTTTGTGAGTCCATTTGTGGTTTTCTTGGCAAAGATACTGGAATAGTTTGTCATTTCCTTTTCCAGATCATTTTGCAGATGAGGAAGTTGAGGCAAACAGGGTTAAATGACTTTCCCAAGGTTACACAGCTATTAAGTGTCTGAGGCCAGATTTAAACTCAGGAAGATGAGTGTTTCTGACTCTGGGCCTGGCACTCTATCCACGGAGTATGTAGTGAGCACTTAATAAATGCTTGTTTGACTGCGTGACTTTGGCAGTTTGGTCCAGCCTATGAACCCTTTCTCAAAATGTTTTTAAGTGCATAAAATAAGACACTTAGCGTTACAAAAGATGCCAGTTGTATTAAAATGAAGATGTAATTTTTTCCCCTTCCAAAGTGAAGGACCCACAGTGTTTGTGTAATCCAGGTTAAGAAGCCCTACTTTGGAGTGATTTGTATGATGAAAAAGCTTAAGGACTTCTAACTTCGAACATATTCCTGGTGGTGCATTCTGCCCTCCTCCAGGACAAAACTCGTTGGCCATATAGATAGCTACAGATTAAGAGTGGTTGGAGGCTGAGGCAAGTTAGTCACAAGAGGCGTCTTTTGAGGATGAGTCATTGCTATTTGTAATGTAAAATGGAGTTGGCATTCTCTCTTCCATCGAACCTGGGGAAATCCACCTTGCCATTATGTTAATGCAACTGTACACATAGTCTGCTTTGGGAGAGCCCCTAAATGCTCCCAGTCCTAGAGCAAAATTTACCCCTGTCTTCTACCAGCAAATATTGAGACCAAAGGACCAAAATATATCAGGCAATCTATGTCAGTAGGGATTCAGTGGGCAGAGCACAGGAGCTGCAATTAAAAAGTTCTGAGTTCAAATCCAGCCTTTTGAAACTTACTAGCTTTGTGACCCTGGGCAAGTCACTTAACCTCTGTCAGCCTCAGTTTCCTCATCTGTAAAATGGGGGTCACAATAGTACTTACCTCCCAGGTTGTTGTGAGAATATCATGAGACAGTGTTTATAAAATACTTTGCAAATCTTAATGTACCACATAAATGCTAGTTCTATTAAGGTGAATGGTCCTCTCCCCCCATTGCAGATCTTGCCCTATTCATACCTTCTCATCCTTTGTGATTCTTGTCTATGCTCACCCATCTTCCATCATGGATCTATTTGATGCCTTCCTCTAGGTGTGATAACATTTCATGGGTACCAAAGAAGCACTTGGGCTCTCCATTTGTAATTTTCTTTCTTTGAACTCTGTGATATTCTTTGCTACTGACTATATCCAGTACTTTCTGACTTGCTTCTTGTTTTTTTGTTTTTGTTTTTTTGCTTTTAGGCAATTGGGGTTAAGTGACTTGCCCAGGGTCACACACCTAGTAAGCATCAAGTGTTTGGTCTGAGGCTGGAATTGAACTCAGGTCCTCCTGACTTCAGGGCTGGTGCTCTATTCACTGCGCCACCTAGCTGCCCCTCTGGCTTGCTTCTTAAAGAGAGTATTTGTGATACATATGTGAGACTTCTGAGTAGTTTATAAACCTTGGGCCTATTTTTGTTTCTTAATTCCAAACCATATATTCAAATACTGTATATCGAATGTTCCAAAATTCTTGGTGAGTTTAAGCTTTTTAAGCTTGAACTTAATGAACTTTAAGCTAGGGAAGGGGGAAAAAAAAAGCTTCAACTGCTCTAAGACTTTTGGGACACCTTGTATTTTTCACCAACTTTCCCTATGTCTACCTTGGCTATTGCATATCAAGGTATATGCTGATTTAACTTGGAGGACTTTGTCAAGTTCTTCATAGAAATTTTTTTTCTATCTCTTCATCCTCTACAACTGATGCTTGTGCTTAAGCCACAATGATCTCCAATGTGGTCGTGTTACTTAGGCTGCTCATGAGCACTGCAAGACAATATCGATCAATGTCTTATAAAGAGATGTTTCCTATTGTCTTTGGGAACACAATAAAACCAATTCAACCAGTTCCTTTATTTACCTCTCTATGGGGAACCCATGAGCTATCTTTGCATTTATCTACAACATCTTTATGTTTTCTGTTTTCAGTTATGGTTGGAATGCCAATATTGATGTGGTTCATTTCCTCCACTAGTGTGTCAACTTGATAGCTTTCAGACAAATATCTCACATTTAGAATAGTAAAAGTTAAATATATCTTTTTTGGATGAGGCAGTTGGGGTCAAGTGACTTACCCAGG